GTATGTTTGTGTTATCTAACTGGTGAAGTTTCTGTTACAAGCGCACTTTTGAGTGCATAAATAAATAAATAAAATAAATAAATAAAAAGCGGTTCCCGTCGGCAGGAGAATACTGCAGCCGATTCTTCACGCAGTTTTGTAAGACTGAACTCTCGTCGAAACATCTCTTCCGCCTTAATCGAACAAAACACTTGACAATTAGCTTTAGGGAGTCTTGTATTTAGCGAGTTTTCGCTTTTTTCGCCTCTGATACACTTTTCTGCAGAAACATTACCTTTTTGAAATCGAAGGGAGTGACTACATCGAAGCAAATAACTACTTTGTAGAGACAATTCTCAGATTGTCTGTATCGTAATATGGGCGTGTCGCGTTTCGTCGTGTTTCAAGATTTGGACGAGTTCCTGATTCCGCAGAAACCGAACTCATCTGAAGAGGCTGCGCCCCTTTTGGCGACGTTGAATGCTCTATTCGTCAAGGATGTTGCTGCGATTCGTGTGCCCGCCCAATATATGAGAATCACGTACGTGCGTCTTATTCCACATTCAGCTTCTGATCACTTTTACCGTCACGATTTCAGAGAACCGGGAGGATTGAAAACCCTTCGAAACACAATCCGGAGACATACTCTGGAATTCAAGCTAACCAAATGCGTCGTGCGTCCCGAAATGGTCTTTGAGCAGGTTTTTTCACTAACTTTTCATAGGTAGAAATAACTTGCGCCTTTTGAAGAAAGCATCGAGCATCCACATGACGAGTTCCGCTAATATAGAGTGATTAGGTGCATGTGGCTTCATTACTGGAGGCATCGTATGTTCTTGTGGATGAAAACTATTCTAGCTGTCTGGGAACAGCAGTTCATCAGAACGGATCTGGGAAAACATGAGTCTTATAAGAGTATCACTTGCAGCAGGACGTCGGAATATAGGATCAGTAGGTCTAACTGTTGCAATGAGGTTTAACTCCGAACACGCCTTCGGGAATCTTTCGCTGCAAGGGATTTCTATTTTGTTCTGATCATGCATCACCGCCAACCCAGCGGTCAAGGGTAGTCTGAATATTCTTGAAGTAGAAGGCACAAAAGTTGAAATGAGACATAGTTGACGTAGGCACGTGCTGGCTTAGAAGAAATAGTTACATTCGCTAAGCGCGCCATTTGTCCTTCATGGATACTCATGGATACTCAGCACAATAGCCGGATGTACATAGAAACAGCTCTTCCATTCACATGCCCAAACATACGAAGAAATCATTTTCAGGGAATCCATCATACGAGTCGAGTGATTCAAGATCAATATGAAGTCCTCGACATCGACAAATCTTCCTTGCTTCTCTATCATTTCAAAAATATGGGAGGATCTGAGATAGACGACACTATTCCCATCAATTATGGAGATCGTTTACGCCAAAGATACGACGAAGTGCTGAAGAAAGTTCATCTGTAAAGTAACGACATGCGACATCTGTAAATTCTTGAGCTATTTTGAAACGGGTTTCTGATTGTTTGTACTACGAGTAAGTGAATATCTGACAAAAATACATTGTTCACAAGCACAATTGAGCAGCAGCAATAGAAGATCCCGTCTAGCTTTTCGTACAATTCAAGTGATTTGAAAAGGTTCATCGCAACTGTAGAGTGAAACCTAACTTTTCCACGTTCATAATATCGGTAGAAATCAAGTTTTGAATGTAAATTATTAATCCATTCATCCTGCAAAATTGAATATATAGGCCATCGAGGAGGCGAGGGCAAGCGGAGTCTCGGTAGTGTAAAGGATGAGAGCACGGGGCCCGGGCAGCACAAGTACGGGTTTGGTCCCGTACGAGGCCGAAGTTTAGTCCTCAACTCGTCATACTTGTGTGACCTTCGGATCTCAAACTACGGCGAATAACAGCAGCCAACAAAACATAACGTCAAAATAAAGCATTTGGTTTCAACAGGCTAAGAATGGTCATAAGATATGTGTTCAGCAATTTTCAGAATTTCTATTAGGTGTGTGCATTAATTACCGCCGTTTTTCGCGTGCAAAAACATACTTATTACGTGCAAAAACATACTTATTACAAAATTAAGACTAAATGTACATTAACCAATGTATTGCCCATCGTTAGCTACAACTTCTTGCCATCTTTCTGGTATCCTGTTGACTCCGGGTCTAAAAAAGTCTTCATCTTTTGAGGCAATCCTGTTATCCACCCATTTTCGCACTTCTTCGGCATTCCGGAAGCGTGTATCTGCTAAACTGACTTGCATGGACCGGTATAGGTATAGGTGGTCATCAGAAAGAGCGAGATCCGGGGTGTATGCGGGCTTAATAAGCTGATCCCATCCAGCAGCTGCAATTTTTTTAGAGGACATTCTTCACAACATGGGGTCTGGCATGTTCGTGGTGGAACAGCATCTCATGATATTTTCCTGTGATTAATGGCCGCTTTTAGGTGACAGCATCCTACAAACTGTTCAGTTGGTGTTCGTAGCGGTCACCAGTAACAGTTTCCTTCGGGCTCAGCAACTCACAGTACACAACACCCTTTTGATCACACCAACAAATGCACACACAGCATTACTTTTTGCTTTCCGCTTTCCTTGCAAACTCTCGAGTAAAGAGAAACCATCTCAGGAGGTTTATTCAGAAAGAGCTTGTCCTCCATTAGTATCAATAAGCATCGTGTGAGCTTCAATGCCAGTTTCCTTGAAAACAAACAGCGGGAGAAGGGACCTCCGGGAAAACGGTTCATCATGTTCCATGACGAATCAGTCTGGGAGCAACGGGATTTTGGGGAAAAACTGATCTGTCTGCCTCTCAGTAGGTAGCTAATACCCTATCGTACAGAATATGACAGGATTCACAGGTGAACCTCTAACATGGTTCGCGCAACACCCTTTGAAGACGGCGGCGGAAATTAATGCACACGCCTAATACTAGTGGAACAGAGACGAAGGTACGAAGGTACTAAGGTAACAGACGGTTTGAATGGGTGCTACTGGCAGACAGGGAAATCTTCCAATACCTTTGAGAGCTCCTTATCGTCTCTTACACTCCTTTGAAGGACTAGGCAAGTGTTGAGGAATCATGAAGTACTCCCAGGTTCCGTACGATCTTCCAAACATTTTGCTATTGATCTTATGGCATAGATTCAAAAAAGCCCTACTTGCATTCACCCTCTCTGAACAAAAACGAAACCAAGCAATGAATTCGTACTCTACACTTAATTGTGTTCAAGCAACCAATGGATGTCGTACCACTACAAGTGAGTATACTTGAACGTAAGTACTGTACATAATCCGCTAAGTGGGTCTGATGGTTTGTCGGTGTATTTGTGTACGTATGTGTGTTCGTGAGTGGGTAGGCGTGTGTGTCGGTGTGTGTGCGTGTAGAAGGCAGAAAGTATGAGTTAGTGACTCCCTTAGGTTTGACAGTGGAAGCTTGACACCTTGGCGAGTAAAATGGAATTTGTCGGAATCGTGGACGGGTTCGTGATAAAAACCCACGACAACTGATAACCGTTACTCATTGCCATCACCTTCACTTTTCGTACGGCAAGAAGCATTGCTTCATGTACATATTATACTAAATGTGCCTGGATCGCAAATATTGGATTACAAGGAGTAATTACAGATACTAAGCCTAATAAGAAGTCCTAGATGGTTCTAGCATCTAACCTGTTTGGTATATACTCTTTTGATATAAGGAGTATATACCGAATTGGTTTGATGCTAGAATCATCTAGGACTTCTTATCAGACTAGTATAAAATTACGAATTGCTTCATCGGGTGAAATGAGGTGATAGGGTAGGCTAAAAAGCTATTGGGTTGTAACATAAGTTCGTAGAGTTTTTTCACAGAGATTTATTTTAACAAAAAACAATAATTATAATAATAAATTAATCGATGATGTATCCTCCTGTTACTGTTTGCGACCTCCTCCAATCTCTCGACCAATTTATTGATGCCGTTTCGCCAAAAATCGGCCGGTCTGGTGTCGAAGAAGTTGTTGAGCCAGTTTCCAAGAACCTCTTCGCCATCGAAGGTAACACTCCTCATTTGGTTTGACAGAGAGCGGAAAGGTGGTAGTTGGTAGGTGCAAGATCCGGAGAGTACGGTGGATGCTGAAGAACCTCTCATTCAAGCTTTTGAAGTGCTGTTTTGACGACTTGGGCATTATGGGGCCTGACGTTGTCGTGAAGCAAGATGACTTCACCTTGTCCATCGGGTCTTTTCAGCCGAATAGCCACACTAACACGGTTTAGCTGGGCAATGTAGACCTCCTTGTTGACAGTTGCATTTCGTTCGAGCATTTCCCAGTGCACCGTGCCTTTCCAGTCTCACCAAACGCAAATCATGACCTATTTTGAGTAAAGGACTTGCTTGACTCTCGGCTTCGGTGTTTCTCCTGGGGCCACCCAGTGACACACCTAAGACACCTTCCTCGTACACACTGCATATGTCCCGAGCGGCTTCGGCTGCTTATTGACCTCGACGAAAAGCAGATGTCGAAAATGTTGATTTTTTCCTCCTGGATATTCCAACTCTGAGCCAGAAAAAAGACGTACAACTAGATTACTCAAGATAATAAATAAAACTATTCTATAGAGGAGAAAGAGCTCTTCCGAATGAATATATACAATTCGCCAAAAAACAAAGGGAATCGTTGCAAAATGTCCCTAACACAAAACTCTACGAACTTATGTTACAACCCAATAAAAGTGAGGGTGAATAATGTAGTTTGGAACGAGCGACATATAACAGTGTTAA